TACTTTTGCTGCAGTGTCTTCTGGGGCCAGGGGGACAGCATCAGTGGGTGGGAGGCCCCCGCTGAGCTGGAAGGTGGGTGCTGGCCCTGGCAGCCTGGGCCGAGCCTGGCTTTCTCACTGCATCGCCGAGCACTTGGTAGCTCAGGGGTGCAGAGGGACCCCGGGGTGGGGAGCACCCCCAGCGCCCCTCCCCACGGGCCTGACCTGGCAGGGGAGGCTCTGGCCAGTGTGAGTGCGCCCTCTGCTGGATGCCTTCGGTGTGGCCTGGTTACCTGGGCAGCTCCCATCCTGTCTTCGCAATTCGCCTTACAAGGACTCCTCTGCCAACGTTTCTGCTCTTCTGGGAAAATTGGACACAGCAGGACGAAGCCCAAACAGCCCCCTACTCCCAGCATAGGGCAGCACCACGTTTGGGAATCTGAGGGGTTCCTGTATTTTTTAGGAAGGTCAAAGAGTTTCCATCCTCCGTCTGACATCCCCCCAACCGTGTCTGTTGGCGGCGTCCCAAGCAGCCCTGCGCTTGGACTTTCTCCTGACTCTGCTGCTGTCCCCTTAGCTGTGGAATTGGGGCATAAATTCTCCTGGGAGAGCGTTTGGTTGGAGATGTGGGCATCTGGTTAGTTCACGTAAAAGAGGCTTCCTGGGTACACACACACACACACACACACACACACACACACTCACACACTGAACTACGCCCACCCTAGCCCACCGTACCTGGAGATGCCACTCCCGCCTCCCTAGTTCCCCAGCGCTGGTGCCCTGGCCTGTGCCAAATACCCCGAGGCCGGGGCAGGGAGGTCTGGCTCTGGCTCTGCAGGACGCACGGAGCACACTATCTTTATAGATTATGCCCCAGCTGCAACCGGAGATGGTGAGCTCACCCCCTGTCCTGGGACGCCTTTGCCAGGCCCCACGCTGTCCTCTCTATGTGGGAAAAGCCTGAAGGTGCCAGCCTGGGGACAAAGGGGCAGGCCCACGAGTGACTCAGCCCCCAGCCAACCTCCCCTGGACAGACTGTAGAGCTTCCTTTTTTCCCCGCGGGAACACGCTGATGTGCAACCTTGGGAATTTCCAAAGGATGGGGGTGTGGGTGTTGTCATAGGCAACACTCCCCCAAATCATTTGGCCACAGAACCGCCCACCGTTTTAAGAAACACAGGCCATTTTAAACACGTTCTGGCACATGCTCTGCCAGGGTGACTGTCATGTCACCATTTCACAGAGGTACACACCAAAGAGACTGAGGGTGTTTGCAAGGCTACGTGGGCCTGGGCCTCTCAGGTCAGGCGGGGAAGGCAGGCCCTGCCCTGCCCTGCGAGGAGGGGGCCCGCGCCTGCACCCAGCAGGGCCTCCTCAGGGAAGGTGACCCGCGGTGGGGGCAGGAAGGATCCAGGAGATCTCCAAAGCCTGGGAACCATCTGGACCTTTGAGGTGCCTCCTTGCCTGATATTTATAGTGGTGCCCAGGAGCGCAGAAATAATTACAGCTCAGTTCCTGCCTTCCTAACAAGGCCCTTCTCAGATTCAGGGCGAACGGGATATTTTTTTCCTTGGCTCTTTTTTTAAGTAGTGAATATTAGCACTGGATTGACAGCTCTTCTCAGCTCACAGACTTTCTTCACCCCAGAAGCGGGGGCAGCAGCACACGGGGGCCTGGGCTTCCCCCACCTGCCGCTCAGGTGCACCCCCCCCCCGGCCCAGGCGGCACCAGGACTCCTGGGGGCTGGGAGGGGTCTTCGGGACCTGAAGGACAGTGTGCCCCCCAGAATTTAATGTGCCACCCTCGCGGCAAGCACTGGAGGTCCTAGGTGAGGAGGGCGAGGGTGAGGATGGGCAGATGCAGTCACAGAGGACGTGGCCCAGGCCACTGCAGCGCGCCCAGGAGCCGTGTCGGGGCACAGAGCAGTCTTTCTCCTGCCGTCGGCGGAGAGGGACTCCCAGGCAGGCGGTGTCCACCCAGGGGCACAGATCCTTCTGCAGCAGCCTCGTCCCGCCCTCACTTCCTGTGCTTCCTGGACCCTCCGGCAGCTGTGGCCAACTCAGCATGGGGACAAGCCCAGAGCGGCGGGGGCCACCACACCCATTTTTGCCAGGAGCCATCCAGGCCCTGGGAGGATGCTGTGAGCAGCCAGCAGGCTCTGTGACCTTGTGACACCTGACTCTCGAAGGGGAGACTGAGCGGAGACCAGATGGGCCCCGGCGTTTAGCTGTCCTGTGGCCTGACCCTCCAGAGTCACCTCCTAGTGGACCGAGGCCTCCCTCAATTTGCCATTTAGTAACTGGCTCCTAGTGGAAGGCGTAAGTCCAGGCACACGGCGTGAGGCAGTGGGCGTGCAGCCCTTCCTGAGAGATAAGCCGGACACATGCGCTGTGCAGGCCCTTTTTCTGGGGGTTTTCTTTCAGTTCTATTTTGCTGTTTGCGATCTCCCTGAAACCAGGGTGTGATTAGCTGGCTGATGGGGGCAGGAGTCTAGACTTGCTCCTAGGGCCTGACATTCTGGAGGTGAGGCCTGAAGGGGGTGGCTGGGTTGGGAGTTCCATGGGTGACCAGGTGCCAGGATGCTGGAAGCGACACTGATCCTGAGGCTGGCATGCTCAGGGGGCCCTCTAGGAGACCTTCCCTGACCGCACCCCAGGTCTAAGCTCAGCTCAGATTTGAGGCCCCGCAATCCTGGGCTCTCATAGCTCTCAGCACGGTAGGCTGCAGTCTTGGTTTTGCTGGCTTGGTTTCCCCACCAGACAGTGACCTCACTCCAGGACAGAGAACTTCGTTTCTACAGCACCCGGTGTACAGTGGGTTGTCACCGAGGAAAAGCAGGGGAGGCGGCTCAAAGGGTGTCTGCTGTGTGTTAGGCACTGTTTAGGACGCGCCCCCAAATCCTGTTGTGGGAGGGGTAAAGCGTTGGTCTCAGTAGATGTGTGGTACCAATGGGCAATTAATGGGTGAATGATTCACAGGCAGGGGGAATTTGGAGCCCAGGGCTGACGGGGAACGTTACGTGGCTGCCCCACATTCCCGGGCATCCTCCAGGGAAGGAGCAGCGGGGCAGCGATGACTGACGGGCTGGGAGAGGATGGCGGGGGGGCTTCTGAACAGGAGGGCAGAGCTGCATGTCCCCAGGATAGGAGGCCAGCAAGGCTGCCCGTGCTCTTGTGGCTCGGGCCACTCAGGGTGCCGCACTCTGCAGAAGAACCCTCTGCAAAGTCTCTGTTTGCAGCTGATATTCCGAACACGGGTGCTCCTGCCCGAGGCACCCGGCCCTCTGTGCCAGGCCACCCCACCGCTGTCTTGGGCTGTAGGGGCACCTCTTCTGGGAGACTAAGTTAATAACCCATACATCTCAAAAGCAGCCGGCGGCCTCTGCAAGTCCATGGCCAAGCGTCCCCACCCTTCCTCTGTGCCAGCCCACCCTGGGGGCATCATGAACTGGAACTCCAGGAAAATGGCAGGGAGGTGCCGCTACCTGGCAAGCTGGGTCAGCTCTCCCCCTGCAGTCTCTCTCTTGACCCTTGTGCCTTCTCCTATCTGCCTCCCTGCCAGATGTCACATCCCTTTCCTTCTAAGAGAAAGATGAACTAGAGGCTGCTTTGTGTGTGACATGGGGCGCCTGAGACAAGGGTGTCCAAGGGGCCTACGCCTGCCTGCTGGGCTCAGTCCCAGACTGTGCTCCGAGGGAGCCTGTGGGCAGCCCCTCCCTCTGTCCTCCTTGCTGCTGCTTCCTGAGCGGCCCTCGTCTCGCAAGGGCAATAAGACATCTCAGACAAGGTCTAACCAACTTCTCAGGCTGGGTGCAGAAACCCAGGCCCAGAGAGCACAAGTGACTTTCCTAAGATCACCCAGCACGTGAGGGGGGCCTCTACTTGACTCCCAGGCTGGTGGTCTTTCCATTACCAGGTGGTCCTGGCCCTGCCTCCCTCAGAGTGGGGCTTGCTCTCCAAAACGAGAGGAGGGGAATCCCGGGTGCCTTTAGGTAGGACAGGTGAGTCCAGAATTGCCACTGGGTATCTGGGCCTCACCCCTTTCGTGGAGGAAGTATGCACAAGTCGGGGGAGTGGATGGGTCTGTCCCCCTGTTGCCTCTCCCTCTGACAGTGGTGAGTGGCAGACTGTCCCTCTCACAGTCAAGCTCACCTGTGGCTGGTCTTGGTAAACTGAGCTTGGCCAGTGGGCACCTGGCGAGTATGACCGCATGGCAGGCCCGTGGGTGTGAGGCTGGTGAAGCTGCAGCCTTGTGTGCACACACACCTGGCAGTGCGGGGTGGAAGCACTGACTGGGGTCAGGGCGTGGGGATCTGTGCAGTCCTGCTGCACTGATGTGTGCACACCCGTTCAGTGTGTTGGGGTGTGGGGAGGGGAGGATGCATTGTGGCAGTGCCCCTCGCCTGCCCCCCCCCACCCCTTATTAAGTATCCACAAGACCGGGTGCCTGTGGCAGGCTCTGGGTGTAAATGGGGTCTGGGGGCCAGTGGGAGGGCAGGAGAGGCTCCTAGGGCCTCCAGCTGGGTTTCCAAGCCCTGGACGGCGGGGAGAAGCGTTCCCTGGCGCGGAAGCCTCTGCGTAGTGCCCTCATTACATCACCGACATCCCCGCCACCAGGCCGGCCTCCCTTAGGAGAGGCGCTTCTGGGAACGCCAAGCAGGACCAAGCGCCTTCCGGTGGGGCCGCAGAGCCGGCAGAGCCGCTCCTTCTCTCGGCAGCGGCCGGCGGGCAGATTCTAGACCCCAAACCCGGGAGCAGTCGCTGGATGGGCGTGGGGGTGGGGGGGAGGGCAGCGCAGGGGCCGTTGGAGGGTGCAGGGGCGGGCCGCCCCGGCGCCGGCGGGCGAGGGGTTAAGTGTGGGATCAGCTGTTGTGCGGTCGTTCCGGATTCTCTTCCCTCCGCGCGGGGCTCTGTTTGATGTTGGAGTACGCCAGGGACTCCCCCTCCCACCGCTACACACGCGCGCACACGCGCGCACTCGCACACGCACCACTCTTTGCAGACAGGGCTCCGGTGGCTCCAAAGTGACTGACTCCCTCCCCCGCTCCCCCTCATCCATTCTCTCGCGCATCTCTCCTCTCTTGCCATCTTCTCGCGCGCGCTCTCCAGCACCCCCGCCCGGGCAGGGGAGCACCGAGCAGAGGCGCGCCGCGTCCCTTCCATGCCTCCCTCTTAAGGAGAGCCCGGAGGGGGAGGGGAGGGTCGGAGGAGGAAGAGGAGGAGGAGACCGAGAGGGCGCCCGGGAGGCAGGGCGCGCGCGCACAGAGGGACGCGCCGAGGGTGCGAGCCGCGCAGCGAGCGCAGAGCTGCCTCGGCCGCCGGGCGCCCCCCTGCCGCCCCATGCTGTGCTCCATGGCGAACTCGGGCTGCCTCCTGCTGTCCAACTCCGGCAGCATGCTCCCGCACTCCGTGCCCTGCCCGCCCGCCTTCCTCTACCTCCAACAGGTAAGCAGCCCCCGGGCCCTACGGGGCCCGGCCCCCCGCCCGGCGCACGTGCGCCCCGCGCCACCGCCCACACCCACACTTGGCCGCTTCCGCGTCGCTGCTGGGGCCCCGCTGCGCTCCCCGCGTCATGGCGCTGGGGCCCGGTCGGGGGGGAGCTGCGCCCCTGTGTGGGGTCGCTCGGGGCACACGCAGCGCCGGGCGAGGGGCCGGAGTTTGGGGCGTCGCTTGCAACTTTTCCGTAGGCATGGGAGGGGTCGGCGGGCGGAGTCTCGAGGGAAGCCGGAGGGGAGGGGGCGGGGGTTCTCAGCGCCCTGGTCACTTTGGGGAACTTCGTGTCGGGCCGCAGGGGGCGCAGGGCGGGGAGCAGGGCCCCTCTCTGGCGGAGTCAGGAAAACTGGGGGGGCCGCGCGGAGGCGGCGGGGACGCCGAGCTCTGCTGCAGCGGGGACTGCGCGCCGGGCCTCGGGGGAGGTGGGCCACGCGCCCGGTGGGGCCGGCCAGGGAGGCCCCGGGAGCTCCGGCAGGAAGGGGGCTAGGGCCCGACCTTTGCCATCTGCGGGGCTGCGCAGGAAGCTCAGGTTGATGAGGAGGGCAGGAAACCAAGCGACTCTGAACCCCCACATCCCCAGGACACTCCACGGGGAGGTGCGCACAGAAAATCAGCCGCCGCCTGCCCGCTGGCCCTGGTGTGGGGGGCAGGGGTCTGGCGGAATCAGTGTGGGCTCAGGGTAGCGTTGGGAACCGACTGGGGATTCCCTTGCCTCCCCCAGACCCCTTGGCTTCTTGGGGCTGCGGCTCCGGTGCCACTTTGGCCAGAGCCTGCGGGGGCTGCAGTACCCTGCCTCACCCACCTCGGCTGCTCCTGTCTCCAGGCCTGTCCTCCCTCCTCACCTCCCTCCCCCTCGGCTCGGCGGGGCTGCCTTCTTTATCTGTAGCACCCCTCAACCTCTGCGCTGGGCCTGCAGGGGCCTGGGCAGCTGCTCCGGGAGGCCTGAGGCTGGAAGGGAGGAGGCAGTCAAGCCAGAGAGCTTCAGCCTGACCACCCTGGGCCTGCCCCGCCCAGCGGGGTGGCTCCCACAGGGCCAGGTCTACACCCTGCGCTGGGTGTGGAGACAGGAGGCAGAGGGCAGGAGCTGCCGCTCCAAGGCGCCAGGGCCAGGCCAGGCCTCATGATCTCAGAGGCAGTTTCTCGTCTGCCTCCCCCACATGTGAATGTCTGAAGGAAGGGACACGGAGTGTGTTTCTTGTAGAGGTTCCAGGTGGGGCTGGGCCTCCGGATGCTGGGCGCTTGTCTTTTTGTGCCCCTTGGGCGCTCCAGAGGTGGCTCAGGAGCTGTGGACACCACAGACACAGATGGTCCCTCAGAGCTGGGCCAGGGCCTCAGCCCCTGTGCTGATGGGCACGCAGGTTGGCCCCTTACAAGGATCCACGCAGTGGGAACTGCCGAACATGTCGGCATCTGCAGAGAAAGGGGACTCCGTGATGGTCAGGAGGGTGGCTGGTAACCGCCCTTGGTCTCACCGTCCCTAGGACCACCTGTGACACCTGGGCAGTCCTGGACACAGCTCAGCGGCGGCAAGCGCCACTGAGGGGCCCCCAGACCCATGGGCAGGTGGATGTCCGAGCTCAGGCCGAGGCTGACACCCAGCACTCGCCATCATCATTTGAGGCAGACAGTCATGGGGGACCTGGAAGATTGGCTTTCCAGCTCCTCCCGAATTTCCATGATCACAGGCGTCACTTGGGGACCTTGTGGATGAGGACTGAGAATCTGCATTTCTGTCAAGCTCCCAGGTGAAGTCATGGAGCAGACCACTCTAGGTAGCCAGGGGGTACCCCACTCAAGCCCCATCCCCCCCTGGCAAGAATGCCCTGGGCCACAGGAAGAGGCCCCAGGTTCCATGGGCAAATACAGGGTTGGAGCCCAACCCACAGCTTGTTGGCTGTGTTGTCTTAGGCGAGTCAGTCCCCCTCTCTAAACCCCGGGCTCTTCCTCTGAGAAGGGGCAGCAGCCTGCAGCCCTCCCGGGCTGAGTTAAGATGAGGTGGCGGTGAGCCTCCACAGGATGCCGAGCAGTGGCGCTGTCTTGATGGAGTCAGACCAGTGCCCATCGTTGGGGTGAAGGCCCCCGATTCCTCCAGGGCTGGGTGAAGGCACCCCCAATGGGTGGCATTTGGAGCTTTCTGCAGGGGGCCAAGGAGAGGCGAACAGTCAGCCGGTGAGCCACCCCATCCCGAGTGGGCATCAACGGGGAGAGCCAGCGCGTACCCGTCTGGGGCACCCGGTTTGAAGCACCCTGTTTCCTTGGCAGCTGTGTATCTTTCTAGACGAGGTCCTTCTTGTTCTGAAAGGTGACCGGTATTACCCCTACCCCTCTCTGGCTACAGCCATGCACCAGGAACAACAGCTTCCCTGTGACCCACCCCAGGACACCCCACCCCTCAGGGCCAGATGTGGGGGCATCTCAGCGGGCTGGGTGGCCGTGTGTCTCCTCAGCAGGCTGGGAAAGATCTAGAATGCAGCCATTTCCTGGCTATTTGTGGGGCACGATTTTACAGGAGCACACGCAGCTCTGTCGGTCCAAGGCTGATACAAAATAAATAATGACATTTAGTTCGGGACTTGGTTTGTCCCACACCACCTCTGGGGCGAGACAGGCTCCCGTGGGCCCTGGAAGTGGAGGCCACGTGAGGGGGGACCCGGGGGCCCGCAGCCAGGCCCCCAGAAGCCGAGCTTGCCTGTCCTGCGGGCCCGCGGAGGGCTGCAGATAACTCTGCATGAGCGAGCCTTGGCGCCATATGTAGGCTGTGTATTCAGTCTCAACAGCACGTTTGATAACAGGAGCAGGAGCGAGAGACGGGAAATCAAGCAAGACAAGAGATAGTTTGCGGCACATTAAGATGCAGTATTTAGACAGGCCAGCTTTTGAAACACAGCGTCTTTGGAACTGGAAATTAGGAAATAAAGCCCCAACCAAGGAATCCATTCTCCCCATGGAAGCATCAACCTTTCCTGCTGCCAGGCCGGACCCCGAGTGTTCTGAGAACGGGGCTGTGTCCCTCCGAGACGGTAGCTCTGTAGTTAATTAGAGGTGCTTGTTGTCAAGCGTCCCTCCTGTCAGCCTCTCAGCGGTGCTGGTGTTTTTCAGTTGTGACCGTAGACGGGACGACTTCAGGTCACCCAAGACCAAGAGACAGCCAGCTGCAGTTTGGGCCGAGGCATTTGTTAAAAGCTCACCAGAGCCGTCCTGGGCCCCGGGTTGCGCCCTGAAAGGTCTGGCCTTGGTTTCCCCACCTACCCAGCCCACTTAGAGGCCCTGGCTCCCTGTGAGTACCTCGGCGCCCGTCCAGGGCCCTGGTCCCCCGCATCTGGCCCTAGGCACATCCTGGGGTGGAACACGGGGAGGCTGTTGTCCGCAGTGCATTGTGGCCAGCGAGGGGTGGGGACAATACTGGTCACCTTTCAGAGCAAGAAGGGCCTGGTCTGGAAACCCAGGACATCAGCAAGGCTCCCTGTGAGGCCCTGGTCTGGCCTCCAGCAGAAGAAAGTTGTGGAGAATGGGAGGAAAACCCCAAGCCCACAAAGCGGGGTTTTGTCACGGTAATTGCTTATTATTAAGCTGCAGCGCCCTATAAAAGAGAATCTTATCACTACATCTGATTGCAAAGCCGGGAAATTGCTCCGGGGAGAGAGCTCTAAGTGCCCAAAGTTTTGTGGAAAGGAGCCTTGGTGATGGGGGGAGGGGGCGGAGCTGGCAGGAGGCTGGCTGGTCGGAGAGGCCCCAGCCCTGGGGCATGTGAGCACCTGGGGCCCTCCTGAGGGCTGTGTTGAGATTCATTGGGAAGCTCTGCTCTTACTAATAAGTGTTCTCTTTGGGGTGGCGTGCTGCTACTCACGGGGACTGTTAAGGATTAATTAGCAGAGTAAAGGTGACACCGTAAGAATGTGCTCCTGGGCACTGAGTCTTTCCTCCTGGGCCGTTGGTGTGTCACCGTGGTGATTCCAGGAACCCCGCCTGAGACATGCTTGCTCACGGTGACATAACGTGCCTGTGAGAACCCCCCGGGCCATGGGGGACAACTGGCACAGAGCACAGCTTGGCCACCTGCATCTTCAGAAGTACATGTTATTGGGTCTGGTCCGTCGGCCGGGGCCACATCCTAAAGATTATCCTGTGACCTGGAGAATTGAACTAGACGAGTAGTTGAGGTCCCGTGATCCTCACTCTAAATGTGACCCCCCCACCCCGGGTCAAGGAGCCTGGCCCCCTGCGGGGGGGTCCCTGGGGACCGGCACCGATTTAGGTGCTTGTGCCTCTAGAGGTCCGTCCTCACCGTGAACCACTTCACCCTGGCGTCATTTGGTTGCCCAAGTAACCCAGTCATTTCTGTGGGTTCTTCCCCCGTTCTCGCTCTTTGGCAGCTTATGTTCTAGAATCTGCTGAGGGTTCATGTGCATTTTACAGCTGAGGAAGCTGAGGCACAGAGAGGTTAGGTCATGTGCTAACTCATAAAGCCCCAGGCGAGCAGAGCCCGGATCCAGCCCAGGCAGCCAGACCCCAGAATCGCGGCTCAAGTCGGCCTCATCCTGGTGAGTGGTGGGGACACAGGAAGTGCTGTTCTCTGGCCACTTTCTCAGCCACGCGCAAAAGAGCAGTGACTCAGCTGCGGCCCCCACGTGGCTTAAACACTCTCGGCTCTCCTGCCGGGTTTTAGCCAGGTGTCCGGACACCCGCCATGTTTCCGAGGTCCCTTTTGGGTTTGGGAAAGCGGGAACGGCCTGCCTCCGAAACTCTCGCGTCTTGTTCCGCGGGGTGAGTGGGCTTCTCTGAGGAGCAGGGAGCTTCGTCTGGCTGGACACATGAGAAACACGGCTGATGAGGATGGCATGGAGTGGTGGTTGAGGGGACGGTCCAGCCCTGGGCACGGATGGAGGGCCATTTAGGCAGGGACAGCAAGACATGCCTCTGTGTCCAGACCCTGCTGAGCATGAAGGTGTGTG